GGACTGAGAGAAAGGAGAGTATTTGTATGGGGGGGGGGTCCTATGCTTGATAAAAGGGAGAGAGAAAGAGAGTGAGAGGAAGAGAGAGAGAGAGAGAAAGGAAGAAAGGAAGGAAGGAAGGGAGGAAGGAAGGAAGAAAGGAGAGAGAGAGAAAAAGACTTCTGTATATAATCCCCAAATTGGGGATGACAAAAACGTGTTCTTTTCTCCCTGAATCCATTGCAGGCCCAGCATATTAGCTCCCTGTGTTAAGAAAGCTTTGGATGTTCATACAGCCCTGGGAATGGGGTCAGGGAAAGGCAAAAGTTGTTGAATTTGAGGACCTACTTGGCTTCTTTTTCATAACTCCCCTGGACTTTAGGTTTGAAAAGACCTGCAGCAGGAGTCTCCAGGTTGAAACATGCTTGGTTAAGATTCTCCCAATTGGACAGTCTAGAAAAAGTCTATGAAGCCCCTAGTGGGTATTACTGGCCCTGATGGCCAGGCCATCCATGTTGGGGTTTCCTGTTCTTGGGACCCAGGACTGGAGAGATGAGGGAGATGTTGTCCCCAAGTGTCACTGGGCCTCTGTCTAGGTGTGAAATAAACAGGGCCCACCTTTTAGCTGGATTTTGGGGAGCCTGGGAGGGGACTGCGTTAATATGGGCATTATAGTTTTATCACTAGAGAAAATAATGCCAAAATCTCAGCACTTTCTTGCATAGCCTGATTCTTTTGGCTACTCCTGAAGATACCATCACTGGCCTGAGCTAAAAAAGAAGAGAAGAGGCAGCTCTCATGTTTGCACCTCAAGCTTTCTCAGGTGTATGTGCTGGGGGAGGGGAAAAGGGTGCCTGGTTTTCCAGCATGTCAGGCACCCTTTCCTTACACAGGTACATAAACAGAATTTTACATTGACTGGAAAAAAGATTAGCAGGAATTTTTTTCCACCGATGTCTCCCGTTGAGAAGGGGGTTCTTAGCAGGGCTATGTAAATCAATACCGATTTATTTCTTTGAATTCAAAGGCTATTTATCCAGGTCTAATTTCTTTAGAATTAACGTGATAACTGAGCCCAACTTAGCAACCAAACCCAGCCAGGTCCTGCCGGGTCTGAATGCACTTCTATAGCCAGAGGAGGCTGCAAATCCTCCACCCGGCACCCAACACACTTTCTGGCCTGTGTGTGCCGCAAACACCAGTCCATAGCTAGGACAGGAGATTTTTCCATCCGAAAAGCACATTCCTTCCACAGTGGCCTTGGGCCCACTGACCCACACAGTCTTGTGTTGGCAATCGGTGAGTATTTCTCTCTAAATAACTTTGACAGACGGAATACAAGCCCCAACACCTTAACACCTTAAAAAGCAAAAAGCAGGCCTCAAATCCTACCTCTAAAAATGTCTTCGTGAATACGACCCTCACCTACTACTGGCCCTATAAGAGCCTTAAGCCCACGACTCCTCCAGATTGCCGGCTTTACTTCTATTTTGAATGACAAAGACTTAAGGGCTCGCCTCCCCTCCTCTTCCCACACCCCAGAGCTGGCTCCGGTTCCCCAGCGGGCAAGACAAAGAGGTAGGAGCCAGAGTCCCGGGGACGGCGCACCAGGCGCGGGGGCCTTGGAGCTCCTGGGGTGTGCGCCATCGCCGTGTCGCCCTGAAAGAACTGAGCGTTCTTGCCTCTTGCAGAAGGGCTGGAGGTGCGGGCTGGAATAAAATGAACCAGTGATGACTCCAACCGCCTTGCCTCGGCTCATTACCGCCGCCCATGACACTAGGCGAAGGACTTGAAAGCCGAGATCATTTGGAGAGAAATGACCGCGGGGAGCGGCCCCTGCCCCAGACAGCCACTGCGCGCCCAAGTCCTCGCGCCCAGGCCAGTGGCAGAGGCCACACGTGGCAACCACTTGCCCTGTACTACCTTGGCACCCTCTGTGGGGTCAGACTAGCTCTCTGTCTACCTATTCCCGAGACTCGCTAGAAAGCAGGACGCTCAAGCCTGCAGTTTGGATTCTATCCCGCAAGAGCACACAGAGACCTCTATCAAGCCGGGAGGGACCCCTCGCTCGCTCCACTCCCAGCCCCTGGCTATCTGAGCCCAATCTGAGTCGCTCAGCAGGTCTCAGCAGGACCTTCACCGTACTACTACCTACAACTGCTACTCGGCGCAGCT